CATGGGTTCTTGCTGCGAAGAAATTTCAATTTTCGTGAGCTGCTGCTTGTGCTCACAATGTGAGCCTCACATGTATACATACATATACACATTCGAGAGAGCAGAGAGCATCGAGAGAGAGAGAGAGCAAGGGAAACATTGAGCATAGAGGGATCTTTTGTTCAAAAGTTGACCATCTCGGTCGAGCGCATGAAGCGAAATGATTGTGCGTTCGTATTTTTTCGTAGCTCGAACCTAAAAGTAAGGAGYCGAGCGAGTCCAAAGCTGTYTGGGGTGCTAAAGCCTCAAAAAAAGCGTGCAAAAAGCTTTCCACTAGTTGTCTAGTCTATGTGTTCTCTGGTTAGTGATTCCAGGTAACATCTATAGGGTTCGTTAAGAGTTGCCTCGATAGATACGCTTAACTAAAAGATATTTTATATATGTACGCATATCGACCATAGTAGAAATGAATTAGCTCGTATATCATATAGAAATCTCAATTTTTCTTTCTCCCTCTCTCTCTCTCTCTCTTCCTCTCTCTCTTTAATTTACCTCCACGCTTGAATCTACTTTAACTAATTTCAAGTAATTTTGAAGTCTTCTCCTTTAAGCCTTTTCTCCTTCGAAGCTGAAACGAAGCAACTTCGGGAGCAAATTCCAAAGTTAATTGTTCAGCCGTTCGACCTCATTTCTCTATTTCTGTCCCAGTCGCGATTTGTCAAGTCAAGCGGCATCATTAGGGGAACATCGTCATCAATATACGGTTACATGACTCGGGGCTTGAGTTTGGCTTATGATGCTCCTCTGCTTCCCCTTGCCCAGCTCCAACTAGTAGTACTTTATTATGCTTCAACTTCCAAGTTCCAAGTTGCCTGTTATTGCTGTTGCTGTTGCTGTTGCTGTTGTTATTATTGTTATTGGCATTGTTGTTGTTGTTGTTGTTGGTGTAGTTCCTATTGTTGTTGTAGCTGCTTTCATTGGTACGATATAAAAGGCTACCGAAACTCTTGGCCGCTCGTAAATTTTGCGAAATAAAATGGCAATAAAACAAGCCATATTCTTATGCTCTTGTGTTTTTCGTACATTTGGCAATTATTTGATTACTTTAGCCCGAAAATTTATTAGCTAAACAAACATTGAAATTCATACACGCACACATACACACAGAGTCACACACAGACAAGCTTTGGCGAGTGTTAAAGCACGTTTCCTTGCTTAGATAGAGACGACAACACCACATGAGACACAGAGTGAAAGAGAAAGAGCGAGTGAGTGAGAGAGAGAGAGAGAGAAAGAGAGAGAGCAGCTCTTGGTAAATATTAAATTAATCAAGTTTCATTTTTCGGGTTTAATTATTCGTGTAGATGATGTTTGCGACACACACACACAAACACACAGCTGGTCTATTTGCCAAATCTTTATCACTTCAATCTACACACCCACACACATGGATGTTGGTTGTGTGTAGACACAAGGCACACCTAGGCACCTACGCATAGCGCCTGAAATTATGCAATCCAATGTGCCTCTGAATAATTACACAGCCGTGCACCGTCAACATTCATCAGCGGCGCACAGAAAATATTGTTTGTTCAACACGAACGCGCCGCACTGCAAACTGTCAACTGTCGCTTGCACCTTGGCCAGGACATAGGGCAGGCGGGAAGGCTTCCGATTGGAATTACCCAGTAAAGCAGAGTCACATAGGGTGGATAGAGAGGCAGAGTGAGACAGCGAGCGAGGGAGAGAGATGGAGACAGAGCGAATGGGAGACCGGGCTTTAAAGTGTTAAAGAAGGAGAGAGCTAGGGATTCTAATCCCTAGTCTCCTAATATATCGAGTGATAGAACAAAAAAAACGAAAGACAGAGAGAGAGAGACAGAGAGAGAGAGAGAGAGAGAGAGAGACAGAGAGAGAGAGAAAGAGAGAGAGAGAGAGAGGGAGAATAAAATATAAAAAGTGGGAGAGAGGGAGACAGACAGAGTGAGAGAGACTGAAAAAGTGGGAGAGCGAAAAAGAGAAGGAAAAAAGAGTGAGATCGAAAAACTAAGTGAGATAGAGTATCAAGAAGAAAAGAAATGAGAGCAAGAGAGAGAGAGAGAGAGAGAAGGAGAGATTGAGACATAGTGGGTACAGAGCAGCATAGAAAATAGAGAGTCGTAGAAGCAGAAAGGGAGCAAGAGAGAGAGTTGGATGTGAGGGAGAGGGACAGAGCACATAGAATTAGAGAATTAGAGAGAACAAAAAATTAAGGAGAGAGTGCGACAAA